ACCTATTACAAACAATCATGTCACAGTATTTTGATGTGAATTAATCAGGTTTATTGACGGAAGTTTTCATTTTCAATGAAGCAAAATTGTTGCGTAGCATTTTAGACTACTCTTACACTATCTGGTATCTTCGTTAATAAGATTTTAGCAGTGAACTAGATTAAATCATTTGCATTCAACATCAGCATTTTTAAATATCTAACTACATACAAATTTTCAAATTCTTAAGTATATAAAATAATGTCATACTTAGAACCTGCAAAAGCTGTTAGTCATAGGCAAATAGATTCTGTTCCTGTGACTTTTCCACAAGTCTGAAATTCACAGGATTTCTTTTCCTATGGAGTCGTCGTTGTTCTCTGCTGCTTTCAGTAGTTGTTTCGTCTAATTATTGCTTTATCTCGTTGAAACGGAAAGATCACTCTGAGGCAGTATGGAGTGCTATGAATAAACACATATTTAACACTGGCCTTCCAACATATATGGAGAGTTCGTTTGAAGTCAAAGTCAAAAACCTCTCGATAACGGTATTGTCACATACTTGGACTTACTTGGGCCTCACTCACTCATCTGGAAGATCTATGTAAACAGTGCCACACAAATACCACAGGCGAAATCGATAGTTTGGCAGGAGGTGGACTCATTGAAGAAAGAACTTCTAATGAACATGAAGTAGATATAGTTTATGCATAAATCAACCACTAGAGTGAGAAATCTGGAGGAATTTGTCCCTTTCACGCACCATTCGGGCGATATCCTTTGAACTACAGGAGTGGGAACGTGTATGTCAGCTCCATCCAGGATCAGAAACGCTAGACTGGCATTCATTACTCTGAAACCAGCGTAAAAATCTTCTGTACTCGGTATAAGTTAAAAGATATGAATCCCGAACAGTAATGTCCAATCGCAGTTTCTCTATATTTCGGAATATTGGCGAATCACTGAGGTCATTTTGAACAGGATGCAAACTTTCATCGACAGCTGCCTTCCTTGGCTGGATAACGAATATCAGATGTTTAATTCAGAGGAGATAAGCAACAGTGAACTCTGCTGACGAATTAACCAATGGCCTACCGTTCTATAAATATGTAGGAGGGAATGGAGATAGATCAGGTTCACGCAGAGAAGACCGGGTGGAACTCGAGTGGACAACGACAAGTCACGAGTCTGAAGGGGTTCTGCGTCAGTCGTCAGCCATCTTACCATCTCTTTTCTTATTTCTTAGTACAGTTGTACACGTTTCCTTGAATATCGCCATCAGAAATCTCCAATGTACTTCCACACAGGTTTCCTCGGTAATAACACGCAGTGTCTCTGACATCCCTCTGATCTGATCTGTAGTGCAGGCATCTCTTGCTGTTTTTGTCCTTCAGTTTCTGAATGTTGAACTTGAAATGTGTCCTGTATCCAGCTTTTTTCAGGGATTTTAGCTTCGCCTTGGAAGTTCCTTGAACTGGATGATGGTCTCAGCCTATATCTCCATCCAGCGGGCTGCCTCTCGACTTCCTTGAGCAACTTTGAGATGAATGTAGTCCATCTGGTTTGCGGTGTCCTTCAGATGAAATCCTTGGTGCTTTGTGTATCTTCTTTTGCTTGTACACATTGTCTCCAATCCCCAAATCATTGAAAGCGCAGAAGTCTAAGAATAATTCACCGTTCTTATTCATTTCACAAAGCCACAGCTTCTCTACCTGTGATTAGTTCTCTTCCTGTATCAGCTCCCAGTTCAGCTGTCATTCATATCACCCATAAAGATTTTGATGTTGCCATTAAGGATGTTTTCCATTACTGTTTATAGTTGTCTGTAAAAAAGCTTTCTTCTCTTGATTCTCGTCATTTTAACACCATGCATAACATGGGATAAGTGTGGCCTTCCTTCCTTTTGAGTTGAATCTTGATGTCATGATCCTGCGAAATGCAGTTGGTCCCTGCTGCATTAGTGCTCCGGCTGCCGCTGGTGACGTCATTATAGCGACTCATTGCCTCATTGTGCTTGTGAATGTCGTCTCTGTGACCCGACCGGAGTAAATTACTGACTCTTCAGTTGAAAAATTGGATAATCCACGTTCGCTTCGCAAATACCTAGCACTTGAGTACCATATTTTCAAACTTTTTGGCTACTTGGGTAGCCTTCCCAGTCTCGTACATTGTATGGACATTCCACTTCCATATTCTTATTCTTGCTCTTATCGAAATAAAACACGTCGGCTAACTAGCTTCCGAAAGGCTATCACCAGCCCGCGGTATTTCAGCCCTCCGATTCCTGCGGTGCGTCAGTGGCACAGTGGTTAAGACACTCGCCGACCATGCACATGCTCTGGGGTTCGATTCCCGACTGACGCACTCCTTTACCTCGCCAAACCAGTAATAAAAAGTCGATAAAGAGGAAAGGTCGGGCATGAGGCTAGCAACCTCATCGTGTAAAAATAAACACTGCTACAGATACTTCAAGCTTCTAATTTGAAGCCCTAAGTTCCACTGGGAACGTGAAGGAGAAAAAGATTCCTGCAAAGAATGAGATTGTTCTTTGAACGTTTTGTATTTCTAATATTTTTTATTGTTCGTTGAAGTTCCTGAGGCGGTTTGATTGCTTTTGTGGGCTGGAGTCGCTAGCGGCACGCATAAACCTCATTTTTTACCGGTCTCCGAACCTACCTGAAAACTGGCAAGAAATTAAACCAGGTGAGGCTTCCTTGTTTTCTGATGTAATCAAAATTCAACAGAAAGCCTTATCACGTTAAATCTTACTGTGTATACAAATTTTCATGTATGTACTGTAATGGGACAAAATCTAGTATAATACCACTAAATAAGTTTTCTTTTCTTCTTCTGCAGAAACGAATGCCAGTATAAACTCATTGGAGCAAGAAGAGGAGCGTTTGGCTAGGCTTGCTGTAACGGATGATTAGTTAACTTGTACCTGCACTTTTTGAACCTTGCTTAATCACAATATACATCTTTCACGGCAATATGCGTTCTTCTTTCTCTATCTGTGACTGTGAGTGATCTTCTGTTACACTACGATAGCGTTTGCAGTGAAAGAACAGAAAGAAAAGCACATCCCCAATAATTTGTTCACGTAATGAAACGCTTGCATCTCAAGGCAAATATGCTTACAATAGAACGACTGCGAGACATCTCATCAATGCGTATCAACATCGCGAAACCCTTTGAAATGGTTTTCTTCTCCTCAAGTTTTCCAAAGCAATTTCTATCAGATGCCTGAAATTCGATTAATGTGTCCGGAAAGAAGCAGTCGTCAGTCTTACCTTGCCCTGGTAGGCGGATGTCTCTATTTTACCCTTAATTTGATCAAGTATTCCTTGACTTTAACCTATCTCTCCTTTTATATGTTGTAACATTGCTTGTTTCTAGTTTCAATGGTTTGAGTTGGACTCACTATATTCTTACTGAATTTTTCAGCTACTCATCATCTTACTAACCTTTTGTCCTTATTACATAACTCTTTTACCATTGTATGCATACGTTTATTTCTGTTTAAACTTGAACTCTGTATTAAACTATATGAGTTTAATTTCCTGTGCACTGTTTATTGAGTTTGAAGTTTCCAGTCAACTGACATCATGTAACATTTGCAAGTATGTTGAAATTATTGTGTATTTAAACCTTACAATTTCTTCAGGCTACACTCAGTTGATGAGAAGCCAACAAAATAAAGGACGGTACCATTATATTTTACACAAACTCTTGTTTTTGCTTCATTAAAATTCATAAAGGGGGGAAGAATGTATGAAGACAAAACGTTCTGTTGGATAAATGTTGGACAATAAAATCAGTGTATATACAGGAATTGTTTATGCTCATACTTAACATATTTCATTCTGTTGAAATTATTGCAGATAAATAACAAGTATTAATGTACAAAAATAGCAGTTAACACACACACACACACACACCGATATAGCTGTCTTCTGAAACGTGCTTTAAAAGACAGAGATTAACAATATTTAAGTAGTATTTTGTATTATCTTGACATCATATTTTCACATTTACCTCAGGAAATTCTGTGCACAAGTCTAAAGGCTGAAAAAAAAGCCAATCACTGTGATATACCAGAAAATTGTTATGTTGCCGGTGATTTGCAAACAGATGTGGAAAACACCATAACAGAGTTTCATTCAGTTATTACTGTTGCTTTGGGTTCTGAATGGAATATAGGGCTTCAACAGCACGTCTCCAATCTATTCTGTTTCTTGAAGTCTTATTCAGCTGGCGTCACAATTTTCAAATAGGTTTCATCTCCTAATCACATGATCTCGTCTGTGTTACTCTCTGACCCAAGCCCGACTTGCTGTTTCCCATTGGGGTTCCATTAGAGAGATAGCTTGGAGTGCGACGTCATCCGACGGTCCCTTCAGCGTGTCCTATCCATCTCTATTTTTTTCGGTTTATCTTCTTTTTGAGCAATAAGTTCTTGGTTGGTTTTTTCCCCAGAATTCATCGCAGCTAATTTTTTCTGGTCATCTTATCTTCACTGTCTAGTCAATGAAAGTACGTGTTGATTGAAAACTGAAGCCCACTGGCAGTGCTTTTCATGACGCGCTAAATTTCTGACACAAAGAGAAGGACTGACTGACTTAACATTGGTGTTAGAGATCTGAATCTAATTGTTTGTACTGACCACAGCAGATTTTCACGCTGATTTCAAAGTGGTGAAGCTCTGTCTTGCCATTCTGATTCTGGTTTTGACATCCTCACCCATTCCGCCTGTAGTTGAAAGGATCCTGACTAGATCAATGATAGAAGAGACGGCATTCAAATATTTTCCATTGGTAATCGTAAGTGCTTGTTGTTGTTTCTGCCGGTTGGTTATCGTCATCATCTCCGTCTTCCCTGTGTTCACTTGAAGTCCTGTCTCCACTCTCTGCCTCTTCTGTCAGCTTTTTGGTATTGACATTGAACATTAATCATCCGCGAAATCCAGATTTTCTAAATTCTTCTTATCGACCCAGCATATTCATGTCTTCTCGCTCCTCACAGTTTTACTCAAAAGGGATAAAAATTGTACTCAACCAGCCTGTAAACATCATACTGTGGATAACACAGTTTAAAAAGACATTACTTATATAACCATTAAATGACATTATTAAAAGTACAAGTGCATATAAATCATATGGGTATATCTACATACACATGAAGTTGAGTTAGATGTCATCATTTAAATATACAACCAACTTTCAGGCATATTCATACATACTCTCAAACAAATGGCATATGTAAAAACAGTGAACTATGGAAATTCTTAAATGCGTCAGTAGAGAAGGTGTTTATCACTCTGTATCGCTTGACATCTTTAGGTCTTGTTTTCACTATAATTGAATACCAGTTATACTTTTGATTTCTCGAAGAAAATGGTGTTGCGTAAAACAATAAAAAAAAGAGAATTTAGTAATATTAGACAAAATTGTGTAATTTAAATAGATGATTAAAAAGGGAAACGAAAAGAAAGGAACAATCCTCTTATTACACAGATTCTTATACTGTTATGTAATAAATAAGATCCTCTGGAGTATTTCGAATTATGAACATATTTGATAAGGGAAGAATGATTATGCTATCCGGATAATACAGAGGGATTCACTGAGTTAGACATTCCATTATTATTTCGCCGAGATGACTCTCTCCGAGATGAACTCAATCTTGGCGATGGTTTTGGCCGTTCTTCAGATGTTCTAAATAAAGTTGATTTGTTTAATTGTGATGACTGGTCATTTGTAGTCGATTTTGTATCGGTTAGTAGCTTCTGTTGATGAGGATGATGAGAATGAGGTGAATTGTCGAAATTATTATCCAGTCGATCACCATTTGTCAACAAACGATTATGTGACCGACGAGCAAATGATGGAATATTTTCACTGTCGTCATTTAAGCCAAGCCTCATTAGTGCTTCACAACGACAACCTAAGCGATAGAATAATCCTCTGAATAATTGATGAACACGTAGACGAAAGTTACAACCAGTTGCATAGTAGATAATAAAACCAAATGCATAATGTGACAGGGCGATTTCATCTCCAAATGCCTTGATAGTTATCGTTGTGAAATATCGATTCCAGACTGGATCTTTCAATGCCTTAGAATAAAAAAAAGAGAAAAAAGTGTAGACGTCTTAAAAAAATATTAAAATGTACGCTTTGGGTGTTCACTCAATTTAAACTTAGATTTTCTCCCTGAAAGTTATACTTGCAGGTTTATTAGATGAATAACGGTTGATTTTCAGTGTTTCATTATCAAATATTTACAAGCTAGGATGATAACTTTGTAGTTACAGGGTCACATGTATATGTTGAGTAATGTATTCGACATAACACAATGAAAGAGGTCACTTCCTTCGCATATCTAAGCACGGATGAGGATGTCAAAGCCAAAATTGGAATGACAAGACAGACTTTCATCACTCTGATAACAGTTTGGAAATTCGCCACAGTCAGCTCAAAGAACAAAATGCGCATTTTTAACAACATTTTTAATTAAGTCCTTCAATATAGGTTAGATAATTGTAACAGGCTACTGTAGAATTTTATTAATAGATGCTCCATAGTGAAGATCAAATGGCCAGAAATAATTATCAACAAGAAAACTCTGAGAACAAACCAACGACGAACCCATTGATAAATAAATACACCAAAGAAAATGAAGATCGGTCAGATACATGCTGAGTAAGTGTCACATGCCAGGTCCTCAATTGAGAACCGAATAAAAAATGAAAAGTAGTGTTTTGGTCCCAGCATAACACGGAGGAGATAGCGTGGGTAGGAGATGACAGACTATGGGCAATCATATAGGCAGATGAAGAGGACCACGGAGAAGAGGAAACGGTGTTGTGTTGTTGAAGTGCTGTATTCCACTCGAACCTAAGAGAACGATAGTAGTTTTAATGATAATAACTATTATAATCCATTTAAAAAACAATTCAGAAAATTCACAATGAGAACACTTTGCATTAATATAAAATTCATTGGACAGATTACGTTTGTTAATTCTAATAACTGTATTCGTTGGTCAGACACTGTGGAACTAAGCTATTTTTATATTTCAGGTATAAAACAATCGTGAATTTATGTTGGATTCAAGCGTTAGAAAGTTAACTGCTCGTGTATTATTTAGTACTGAACAAGTTGTGCATCTTTACCCGTGCACTTCAATTTGGTGAAGTGGAAAGGGTTGGTAGGATGCTAACAACCACAAAGTATAAAATCAACACCACTGCTACTGAAACTTCAATGGTCTACTCGTAGCAAAAGGAATGTCGGAAATAAAGTTTCCAAAACTGATGATGAGAAGGGTCAGCTAAATTCACTTCCAAACTAAGACGAAATGAATTTTAAACCCGTGGTTTCAGATATTGAAGCGTTATTTACCATGCCAATTTGCCATAGAAACGAATTCTTAAGTTCAAGGGTCGACTGGAACACCATTAGTAACTATAATGAAGCATATCTGGCCAGGAAACTCATGAAAAAACAAACATCATTTATTTTAACACTAGCTAAAAGATCCGCAAAACATAAATCTGTTGATAGATATTCGTAATACAAATCAAGTGTGATTATGCTTGTAAATATTCCAGGTATCATAGGTTCCGGTTAAACATGGAGTAGTCAACGTAGTTTGTAATGTTACCTTTTCAAGTGGAATACATAGCAGATATGCTTCATTATTAATGTTAAGATGACTCGAAATATGAGTCAGCATAAATCACTATTAGTATTATAACAACCCTCTTCGAACAGAATGTGATTTTACAATAAACCAAACTAGGACGAAACAGCTGTCCAGTACTCCCAGGTTTTCCAGTGGTTCTCTAACTGATGTCAGCTCATGATGAAATCCTCCATACAATTAAACAAAATCCCTACCAAACCAATACTTGAAAATTAATCTGATGCTCACTAGTGACTGGCCCTATTCAGGCAGTTAACCTGGGGTTCTAGTGGGAAGCCGTGACCAGTAGGGTACAGCAGGTTGAAGATGTGACAGTAACTCATCTAAGAAGACATTGCGAAATGGTCGCGCTATGTCGTGAATTGGCAGAAGTTAGAATTCAAGGACCATTGGATCGGGTCCCAGTGGCTCAATGGTCTACGAGCTCGCCTTGTAACCAGAAGGTCCTGGGTTCGAATCCCGGGTGGGCGCGTACTGCTGAAGAGTCCCAAACTAGGACGAAACAGCTGTCCAGTACTCCCAGGTTTTCTAGTGGTTCTCTAACTGATGTCAGCTCATGATGAAATCCTCCATACAAATAAACCAAGAAAAGGAAAAGAATTTCCAGTTTAAGGTGTATAGGTTGGTGTCAAAATAAGAGATTTAAAATCACCAAAACAATTATCTGGTATTAATTTATAAAAAACAAGATATCTAAGTTATAGAGGAGGGTTGAAAATAATTTGCTATGGAATTCAAAGTCAGTCAGTAACAGTTAGCAACAGGCTACCACATAATCAAGCAATTTATAAAGTAATGATGACTAGGAAGAATGGAATGACTAAGCGAAATTACATAAGAATACCGAGATGCAAATGAATTAATTGAATTAGCCGAGACTGTAATCATAATAACGTAACAAAGTCTAGAGATAATTATAAGAGGAGGTAGAATTCTCTCGCAGAAGGATACATGTAATATGATAAGTAACTATAAAAGCTTTCACCCAACCAGTGACATGTTCTGCTAGTACGACTTTTACATACAGCAAAGGAAATTGAAATGCATCTGTACAAACCAGACCTGTGTGTTTAAAAGAAATTGAGCAGCCCCTTTCTTTGCTGAATGATTTTCCTCTCCCCTCGTAATTATCTTTAGACTTAGTTATTTATTTAGACTATAGTTGTAGATAATTCAGTTATTGGTATTCTTATGTAATTACGCTTAGTCATTCTATTCTTATTAGTCATCATCACTTTATAAATTCCTTGATTATGTGGTAGCCTGCTCCTAACTGTTACTAACTGACTTTGAATTCCATAGTAAATTATTTTCAACCCTCCTCCAAAACTTAGATATCTTGCTGCTAACATCTACTAGTTAATTCCTTATAAATTAATACTAGATAATTGTTTTGGTGATTTTAAATCTCTTATTTTGACACCCACCTATACACCTTAAACTGAAAATTCTTTTCCTTTTCTTGGTTTATTGTAAAATCACATTCTGTTAGAAGAGGGTTGTTATAATACTAATAGTGATTTATGCTGACTCATATTTCGAGTCATCTTAACATTAATAATGAAGCATATCTGCTATGTATTCCACTTGAAAAGGTAACATTACAAACCACGTTGAATACTCCATGTTTAACCGGAACCTATGATACCTGGAATATTTACAAGCATAATCACACTTAATTTGTATTACGAATATCTATCAACAGATTTATGTTTTGCGGATCTGTTAACTAATAGGAGAATAAATAATGAAGGCAGAATACTTAGGTGTGAACCCTGGTGGGTGGGTATTGCTGAAGTGTCCCAAACTAGGATGAAACAGCTGTCCATTGGTTCTCCAATCGATTTCAGCTCATGATGAAATCCCGTAAGTAATAAATCAAATCCCTACAAACCAATACTTGAATAAAGTTTGTTTCGTTGTTTTCATGAATTTCTCGGCTAGCTACGTTCAGAATGGTACTCCTAACTACATAAACATGGTTATTGTATTGCTGTGCATATTATCGCCTCTATTTCCCTATTAATACTATGTTTTACGGAATGGTTTATGAATTCACAGTCGGGAAAATATCTTTGACGTCAGTCCTATCCCAGAGTGTTGAATGTTGTTCTGCTGACTTGCTTATTGGTCACTGATATAACAATGACGCTTTATTCCAATTTACTGGTCATATTTGTTAGCCAAAAAAGGAAAAAATAAAATGAAATTCCTTCACACTAATTAATGTAAAAAATTATGCATCTTTTTGAGTCTCATGATTTATGTTCATAATTTATTTTGTAGTAAAACAAAAAACTTTTTTTCAGGATTTATTTCTCGGATTAGTTTATGTATTTCGTTCTCATTGGCGATATTCCCCTCCTTTTTTTACTCTGCTTACGTCAATTGTACAGTGAGTAGAGGTATACATTAATAAAGAAGATCTGTTAAAAGAAGCATTCTGGATCCTCGAAATTTTTCAAACTATTTCCTTTTTAAATTAACTATTTTATAAATATCTTTATAAGGGAAGTAAAAATGATTTATGTAAAGTAATTTCTACTGTAAATAAACGAAACTTTTGTAATCAGCTGTTGAATATGTTTGATCACAGACCGGTTGATTTGCATAAAAGAATAAGCTTAGTAGTTATAGTTGTAGTTAGCCTTATTTGCTACTTTTCACCGGTTCTCTCGTTTTCTGTTTATTGGAAGTTACTCACTTTTCTGTCGTGAAAGGAATTCATTTTACATAGCTTATTCATTTTATTTTTATAAAATGGAAAAGATTTCCTACGCAATTCTATACAGCCATTTTGCTAGAATATAGTAGTAGTAATAATAATAGTATTAGATCATGTAGTTTTGGTGGCAGCTAGCAGTAGAATCCACGATGAGCATTTCGTCCTGTTTTAGATTCGTCAGTCGGATAAGCCTGCATTCACAGTGAGTAATGTTTTTCTCACTGGGACTTATTTATCTGCATTAAGAGCTGACATTTCAGCAGAGATTGAGTACTTCTCTCTAACATAATCAACCAACGGAAGAGGCAAAATTAATTTAACTGAAAACAAATAAAATAATATCTTGGAGGCTATTTTTATTTGAAGTCAAGCTTTCATCATAACATGCCTGGTAATTACGTTTACATTTATATTCAGAAGTGTAGTTAAATCCCCAGTTATTGGTGATGGGAATTAAATGCTGAAAATTTTAAAAACGACCTGCAATCCTTTTTTTACGAGTTTCGTTAAAAAGCTTTTTTTTAGCTAAAGTCACTACTTTAATCAGGTTCAAATAAACTCAACGCCCTAGAAGCTCAGTTGAAGTCAGCTTTTTGAAACCTTGTAATTCATTCATTCTCGGATTATTATTTATTTATTTTACTAAAGCTTGATTCCACACAGTATTTTAGTACAAGTGTGGA